AATAATTAATTTAACTGACATGCAATTCATCCGACTTTGACGTCATCATACACTGCCCTAATTGAGGTCATATTCATGAACGATGATTCATTATTGCAATACAAATTAAATTCATGGATACGAACAACGATCAACAGTGTACATCACCACAGATACTGGCCAGATGATGCAACAATCTTGCAAGTTGCTGCTACTCTGTATACTCCTACTAGTCATACTCACAGCCCTTACGAACACGGGAATTAAATACACGTGGCACTTGTATACTCAGAGGCTGGTCTATTATTACAGCCCTCTCCCCGGGGCTTCAGGGTAAGGACTGTGGCAGTGGCGTACCTGGCGTATTGAAATAGGGGCTACAGTGTAGGGAGGTGATAAAAAGGGAGGGGGATGGGCGAAGGTAAGGTAATACCAAACAAACAATTGTTTTCCTATACTTCACTTCTTTTCAAAACCTCACTGTCCTCTACCCCCTCTTCTTTTATCTCTGACAGTAGCGTAACGACCGGGACCCAAAAGCCCTCACTCTCAGAAAGCTACTAGGACCCCCGGCCCCACCGTTACGCCACTGATCTCTGCAACTATAACCATTGATGTACTGGGGTGGAAGGATCATTAATAATAATATAATTATTTTCTTAAATTTCTTAGGTTCGTTGTAAGCATATCATGTATTGTATTGTAAATATCAAAGATATTTTTCATGTTTTTAAATTTTAAAATGTATGAAGTACTGTAGGCCTAGTCCAAATATTTATATTTTTGATGTAAATATCTTGCAATTAAACCTTGGCTGTGAACAGTGATGGCACCAGGATCTGCCCGGCGGAGGGGCTAAAGGCCCCGACGGGGGTGCTAGGCGAGTGAAGCGAGCCACACTTAGCTGGGGCAAAGGTGGGGGGGGGGGCGCGCACAGGGCCCCGTTCGTGCGTTCGAGGTCCAGGGGTTCCCCCTGGAAGCCACGGATATATGACGAATTATTAGCCTGGTTGTAAAACTGCTGAAATGAACTTTAGCGGGAAAAAAGTAAAGGAAAATTAATTTTTGGTTTTTCTGAATCGGCATTCCCTATAGTGTCTCAGAAAAAATTCCCCATGCCTAGGGCTTGGGCAATTTTTTTTTACAGCACTTTGAAATTTTGGCCTAAAATACCCTATTTTAAACTATTTAAGATGGGGGTAGGGGAAGCAAATTTATGTTTTTGGTCACTTTTACATATGCTGTGGATATGAAATGTAACAACTTGGCTATATAGTTACTCATCACTCTCATTAAAAAATTTGATCGGAATGATGACGTCATCATGACAAATTCCAAAAGATGATTGATGAGAATGATGTTGATAAGGTTAATGATGACGAATGATGAGAAACATCCCCTCTGCCCCTCAGCCTCATCTCCATTCTTGTCTCCTCCTCTTCCTCATCATCCTCATGATGAGGATGATGATTGATAATGATGGTTAATAAGGATGATGATGATGTGGTTGATGATGATGAGGACAAGGATGATGGATGATGATGATGATAGATGATGATTGTAATGAGGATGATGATGACGATGATAATGACAATGATGATGATAATGAGGACTATGATGATGAATGAGTGATGATGATAAGGAGGATAAGGATGAGGATAAGGATGATTATGGATGAGGATGATTAGTAGGATGAAGGTGATGGTGATGATGATAACGTTGATTTGTGAGGATGGTGATGAGGATCAATGCCATAGCCAGGATTTTCAAACGGTGTGGGACAGTATCAGGGTGGACCCACTTCACGTATAAATTTAAACAATGTGGACCGGACCCATTTTATGCAAAAATATAAAATATCTGGACCCATTTTCTTATATTTTAGCCATTTTAAACTAAATATGAGAAATCTGGATCCATTTTATGCATAAAATTACATAATTACCACATTTTTAAAATGTGGACCTATTTGTTTGTGAACCCATTATAAAAATTGTGAGACTGTCCAAACTGTCCCAAAAGCTGGCTACGCCATTGATGATGACGAGGATGATGATGGATGAGGTTGAATATGATGATGAGGATGATGATGAAGAAAATGCTTAAAGATGAGGAGGATGAAGATTATGAGGATGATGATAACGACGATAGATGATTGATGATGACGTGATGAAGATGAGGACGATGACGATGGATGAGTATGATGTGATGATGATGATGGTGATGATTACAACAATCGATGACAGGATGATTATGATGATTAGACAACAATGAGAATGATGATGCCGATGACGAATAGGATGAGGAGGATGATGACGGATGGTGATAATACTGTAATGATATTAATAGTGGTAATAAAAAATTTATTAATAATATTATATAACAGTACTAACAATGTAATTCATTTCAATAATAAAATATAATTTTGAAATAACAAGTATACAATATAGTAATATATAATATAATAATATTAATAATGATTTCAACAATAATAAAAAAGCATAAAATGTCTATTAAAGTAATAATATTTATATTTATATTATATGACAGGATGATTATGATGATTAGACAACAATGAGAATGATGATGCCGATGACGAATAGGATGAGGAGGATGATGACGGATGGTGATAATACTGTAATGATATCAATAGTGGTAATAAAAAATTTATTAATAATATTATATAACAGTACTAACAATGTAATTCATTTCAATAATAAAATATAATTTTGAAATAACAAGTATACAATATAGTAATATATAATATAATAATATTAATAATGATTTCAACAATAATAAAAAAGCATAAAATGTCTATTAAAGTAATAATATTTATATATATTCTATATGTGTACATTGCTTTGATTTATTTGTATTTTATACAGTAGTAATAATAATAATTCTAATAATCTTACAAAAATAACCATTTTCCACGCAAGATAAACGCCATCTTGGAAATTGGCACTATGATCATTTCAATCAAATTTGATAAAGACAGTAAAGAGTAACTAGTTAACTAAG